GGGAGCCGGGAGTTCAGAGAGCTCGCACACCATTGGCTCTTCCGTCTCGTCATAATGCGAAAGCATCATGACCGTCTTGCCATTATCCTTATGGCGCGGGAGAGGATCTTTCAAGACATCTTCTGTTTGGCGAGGTAGCTCCAAAGCGTCTTTAGACATCATTTTTCGAACTAGGGATCTGAGTGCCCAACATTCTGTAGTAGGATGTTTAACGGAACGATGGTATAAGCAATAGTCTCCTCGCGCTTGATCCTTTTTGTTAACAGGTTGCCTTGGCTCGGGCAGGTGAACTTTTCCATCTTCTACCTAGGCATTGAGGAGTGCCTGTGCCTCATTCACTGAGATAGGTAATGGTGGGGGAATTTGATCGAACTTTCTCTTTTTTGCCTGCGGGTCTTCTCTTCTCCAAGAGGAGCCCTTGGCTGCATACACAGCGTGGTTGCGTCGGTTAGGCCTCTATGAGGAAGGTTGAGGTGCTGTTGGTCGCCCTGAGTGGGGTTGTGGTGCTGTCATTTGTGCCCTTGATCTTACTGTTTCGCTTATGTTTCGGGCCGCAGCACATAAAGCGGAAAAGTCAGGGAAGTGGTGGTTGACCAGCTGGAGTTTATAAGTCGTGAGCATTCCTTTAATGCACAATGACACCAGTTGGTGTTCTTTCATCGGGTCTTGAATGTCTACTGCTTTTTCCCTGAAACGGCGGACGTAAACGAGAATGTCCTCCCCAAGTCGCTGTGTTTCCCTCATAAGGTGAAGGGTGGTTAACCTTTCTTCAACGTAGAAGAACTTGATATAAAACCTTTTTACCAAGTCTTCCCATGAAGAAATAGAGCCAGCAGCGAGGTTAGCATACCACGAGAATGCTCGATCTGTGAAGGATTTGGAGAATTCCCTCATGCGGAGGTTTCGGTCCTCTCGGTGAGCTCCAAGGGCGTCAAGAAAGCGTGAAACATGCTCCCTGGCGTTCCCTTTTCGTCCGTCGAAGCGAACAAACTTGGGTACTGTGTACCCTGCCGGATATGGAAGACTCACGATGTGAATAGGGTAAGGGGGACGGAGGTCCAATTCTGGGAAGGCAGGGATGTGACCTTTGTTTGTCTGAAGTAGACTGTGTATATGCTCTTTTACTACTTCCAATGTTAATGGCTGGGAAGGGTTCTGATCCACCGGGAGAGCAAGGGAGCCAGTGGAAGTCACTGCGGTGGGAGCTCCGCTAATGGATCCAACTTGCGGTGGGGTATTTGGCTGGGAGCTGACGGAGGGAGCGGGGCGACCGTTTGTCTTCCCGCCTGGGTTCGCAAGTTGTTTTGCGTAGCGAGGTTGGCTTTCGAGCCATTTTGGGCTAATGGCGGAGCGCCATTTTGTGATGCTGAAAGAGGGTTAGACGATGATGGAAGTGTAGGTGCCCTTTGTAAGGCTAGTAGGGCGATCATTAAGAGTTGTTGGTTCTGTTGAAGAGAGGTGACGCTCTCAGTCAACGCACGTAGTTGGTCCGCTATGACCGGTTGGGAGGATTGTTCTTTTGGAGAGCCGCCGGAGTTGTGTTCCGAGGTCTCCGCCAAGGTCTCCCTACCGCCACCTTGGGATGTCGCTATTCCAGTTCCAGTGTTCTTTTTGGGCGCCATGTGAAGCGAGCACCACTCTTCCCCAGCAGAGTATAATGTGGGTGATAGAGATTAGAGGCGATTGGTCGTTGACCTCTGGGAAGATGGTAGGCACTTCAATGGCCTGAGATCACCGGAGGTAGAGAGGAGGAGGTCAAGGCAAGCTTGGAGAGGGAGAGGTTGGCAGCGATAGACCTTTGAACACTAATGTAAAGTATGAGAGAGTGTTTAAGCATGAGACTTGGTTGTATTGTTGTTGTTGTGTCTCGCTGCATATACGATACGTTATATAGGCCACAGGAGTATTGGAGTCCAAGCGAACTGTTGGACAGGTGGCTCGTTCTCCTCAACTCTGCCAGAAGTGATATAAGCCCTTCTGCCGTCTGTGGCTTGCTGGCAGGCGGAGAGCAACGTTTCATGGCAGGCAGAAAGTAACGTTTCGTATATGCATCGGATGACATGAATGTAAAGTCATTGTTGCCTCTTCTCCAAGCCTGGTCGAGATGGAGTTGTCTTAGCAAGAAGACAACCATCTGGACGATCCCATGACCTCAGCCGCCAGTCCAGTATCCTCTGATGATCCCGAGCAGTAGTGCCTGGGTCCTGCTCCCAACCCAGGCATCCAAGTAGATAAATGGGCCAGGGCCTACCTTAGTGTTTAAGAGAGCCAAGGGCTCGCTTCCAAGTGACCAAGTAGGAGAATGGGCCGCGGGCTTAGTTCAATGTTTAAGAGAGGGGTTCGCTTTTGAGCGATCAAGTAGGAGAATTATCTCAATGTTTAGGAGAGCCATTGTTTATCAATCCAAGTCCAAATGAGCCGGGGGTTGATTGTATTGTTGTTTGGCCTTGGAGCGAGGTATGAAGGACCATGGGCCCTACGGGGCCATGGTGCTGCCTGTTGCAGGGCTCTTCATATTTAGATATATTTGGGCTTGTATATATGCTCCCGCTTAGGCTAAGCATATAGTTTTGGTTGCCTTGGCACATGGCGCCCATAGGGCTCGCCATACGACATGCCAGACGTGGTGCCTTATTGGTCTGCCATGTAGGTGGGGTTTTGGTGATGTGGCACCTGTAGGGCTTGCCACGTATTGAGCTTGATACAAGTACCCACAGGGTTCTTACTTTCTCTCTCTACCTCACTTTCTCTCTCTACTGTATATATATTTCTTCCGCTCCGTTTGTGTTTGGTTTTGCATTGCTAATCATTTGCAAGTTTCACCTCTCTGGTGATATTATCACTTTTGCTTGTTTTAGAGCAAGAACCCCCTACAATAAAGAAGTTGGCCTCCAAAAATTCCATGGCCCCACAAATGCAGAGTCTCTAGATCTGGCCCCTGCAAATGCTGCATACCCTTTGCAGTGGCACTGTGCTGTTGCTACTTTTGTACTCCTGACTTCATCCCTAGGCATTGACCCTCATTTATTAATGGTTGTTAATGGCAAATGAGAGAGGAAGAGACTAATACGTTAGGTGGGTCCTAATTTGCCCAACAAATACATGATTATTGTGCTTATTGCATTATGTAATAGACAATTTTTCTTTTTTTTTTTTGAAAAAGAAAAAGAAAAAGACAAATTGCAGATGCTATCAGATGTTCATATGGAGATGTAGAAAGGAAAACCGAAAAAAGTAGAGAAAGAGAGTTAAGGCAGAGAAACTTTAAAAAGAAAGAGAACAACCTTATTTTTCTTTCCTAAAACTTTCGAGTAAATTACAGTGACCTTTCTCGAGGTTTGATAAAATTACCATAAGTTATATAATTTAAGCATAATTACAATGACCTCTCCTAATATTAAATTCATGTAATAATTTTAACCCATTCCGTTAAAGAGCAGTCAAAGAACTAACAATTTAGCTGATGTCATGCAAAAAACGTTTATTAAATATCAAATTTACTCCTTTAAAACAAAATTGAAATTAAATATTTTACTTATTTATTTATTTAATAATTTATTTATTAACCGCACACAATTATATATAGATATATGTGTATATATACAATATCATTATTCTAATCTATCATTCACCTTTCTCTCGCTTATCTCTCTCATCTCTAATCACTGTCGGTGTTCATCGCCTCTCGTGCCCCACCTCCCACCATCTTCACTTTCTCTTTACCCTTTGCCTCCCCCTTCTTTCACCCCTTTGCCTTCCTCCACTGTCCACCACTGCTCACTCCACCACGGGGCATCGCTAGACCTAATCAATAAACATTACTCAACCTTCTCTATCATCCCTATTATGGGGTTTTGCACAAACCAATTTGGGAAAGAGGGGGTTTCCGTGTGAGGACGATGGAGATGCTCAGTGCTCTAGGGCTTTTGTGAGAGGGGAATATAGAGAAGAGAGAGAGAGAGAGAGAGGGAGGAGATAACTCGGTGGTGTACTTGTGTTCTCTGCCTTGTGCGATGACTCAGCGGAAGAGGGCCTCGATTTTGTGCGTTCAGTTCGACGGCTTGGCTCTGTGTAATCACCTTCTACAACAGTTCTGTGACAATGGTGGTGTGCTTTGTACCACGAATTTTTGTTTCATAAACTTCTGTCAAGTTCTTGTATTGAATTTCATTTAGTTTGAATCAACTTTTTGTTTTATTCTTGGAGGTTGAATGATGAAGGATTGTAGAGGGTGGTAGCTGGCCATGTTGGTGTGATGGTTGTAGCATTGGAGGGGGTCAACAGCGGGTGGCATGTGCAGTGGTGGTGGTGGTGGTTGTGTGCGAAATTTGGGGAAGAAGAATGGATTGTGGTGTTGCAGTGAAGTAGATGAGAAAGGAGCAGAAACTGCTAGTGGTGACAGGAGTTGTGGGGGTGGTGGTAGTATGGAGGTAATAGGTTGCTCTGATTTTTATCTCTTTCTTCTATGTATGTTTGTAGTTAACAACACAAGATTGAGGGATGGTGATTAAGTAATTTCTCAATTAATGAAAAAGGCAATATAGTAGATTGACAATAATGTTATATTTGACAAATGTAATTGAGGGTAAAAAAGTAATTTCATTACTTCTGCTAAACTTTGTTTATATTACTATTAGTAGAGGGGAGGTTAGTGTAAGTATAACAAAATTATGGAGCTTATTGTATTTTCTCTAAATCTCATGGGAGGTTAGTGTAATTTATCTAAAATGTTACATAACTTGTTAGATGATTAATAGCAGAATGGGAATGGCCAAACTGCGTTTTGGGCATGTCATTTTTTCCATTATCTGTGTATGATTGACTTTTTTTTAATGGTTTTTTTGTTAGATTTATTTCATTTTTATTTTTGGAGACGAAAAAAATTTTATTCCTAAAATCGTTAGGAATTGCTAATATACATTTGGGTGTGTGCAGACCCATGCTTGACTCGAGCATATGTTGTTTGGAACTTTATTTGGATTATATTTTCTCTTTTGCAGTTTTGGGACTTCAAGGACTCCACAAAAGAAACGAAGATACGAAGGCCTAAACATCTACATAAAAGCCTCAAGGTGCTTGAATTGAATGGATTTATTGGATGCAAAGCTGATCTGCAGATTGCCTCATACATACTTGGCAGTACTGTGTCACTTCAGGAGATAATCATTGATCCCAGCCATCCAAATAAATGGGCACCTGAATATCCTGACAAGCAACAACTGGCTAGAACGCGTGCCAGGCAGCACTTGGAAACAAGATTACCCTTTGGGACAAAATTGGTGTTGAGATAATAACGATTTATGAACCTCTTGGCTCATATCTACTTGTATACTGGGTCTTCAAGGATACAGGTTTTTATTTTATTTTTTGGGGCACAATCTGCTAGTAGTGAGAAAACTAATATTAGTTATTACGAATATTGTTTAAATCGGTGTTCAATCTGAACTTTGAATTTGAGATGAAGGTTATTTACAATAAGGTGTGGTGTTATTATTATTATTTGGCTGGGTTTTTTTTTTATTGTGTTTCAGTATAATTATTTTCTCCCTCGTGGCAAGAAATTTGGCTGCAAATTTAGCAAAATATTGCTACCGTAATGCTAATACAAGCAACTGATCACTGCTCGTCTAGGAAGTACCTGATCGTGCTCCATTTTCAATGAAGCTTGGGGCATCATCCAGTGTTTCTAACATTTATCATGTATGTAGTTGGCAAATGGGTGGGTTTAGTTGGGTCAATATGGATTATGCAATAAAAGAATTTAATAAAATTTAAAATTTCATTGTGTACATGTTAGCTTGGGCAATGAAATTTCGTTATCAACATCTCTATCCACTACAATGATCACGACACTTCTCATTTTGCATATAAATTTATCATGATTTTAAATATAAAAAGCAAATATACAAGACTCCAAATTAATATAAAAAAATTCTACTTGCTCAAAAAATCATGAAATTGATTCTAAATGTTCATAAATACAAAAACATTTTTTTTAAAATTCAATTCCATTGCTTGGATAAAAATAAATAAATAAATAAAATTCTCTATACAATAAAATTTTACTCTTATTTTACTGTGAAACAGAATTTGAAAAAACCCTTTTGCGGGAGTAAAATGGGACTCACACACACTCCCTTTATCTGTTGTAAGGATCATAGAGACTATATGACTTTGTGTGATATCCAAAGATCGCCATAAGAAAAGTAACAGAGACAATGTCGAAAAACAAGAGACCACATTAACAATGATGATGGTGAGGGATAAGGATTACATTGGACGTCTACATAATTTCTTTACCTCTTTTTCTCACTCTAAATCAATATAAATCAATGTAGATCTATAGAGTAAGAGGTAGTTTAAACGTTGATTTTTGTCCATGTTGCAACAGAAATCTTTTATGAAGACACATATATTAAAAACAATTTAGTTGTCCTTTTACCACTAAATATTATATTGAGGGATTTGTGGTCAAAGTTAATACTTTTTTGTGGTTTTAATTATACATTGATGACCTGTAAAATAGATTAACTAACAGGTAAACATATTAAAATAATAAATAATATTATATAACCACAAACATTCGTAACACAACTCACTAAAACGCATAACCTCGAAAGATAAAAAGCATAACCTACAACTAAAATGAGTAACCTCTCCACAAAAATTCATATTGTTGCCACAAAAATACGTAATTTAACCACAAATTGCATAACAAAAACCACAAAAATTATGGAAACTATAAAATGTTGTAACGTAATCACAAAGTTACATAATGTCACCCACAAAAGCACGCAACTTAACTACAAATTGGTGTAGCGAAAAGCATAAAAATTTTGAGAACTACAAAAATGTCGTAATCTATCTACAAAGTTATGCAACGCCATTCACAAAAATAAATAACCTAACCACAAATTAGTGTAACGAAATCTATAAGACTTCTGGTAACCACAAAATGTCGTAACCTAACTACGAACTTATGTAACATCAGCCATAACGTGTAATCTAATCACAAATTGGCATAATGAAAAGCATAAAAATTTTGAGAACCACAAAGTGTTGTAACCTAACCACAAAATTACATAACGTTACCCACAAAAATGTGTAACCTAACCATAAATTGGCCTAATGAAAACTATAAAACTTTTGATAAGCACAAACTATTGTAGCGTAACCACAAAGTTACATAATGATACCCACAAAACGCATAACCTAACCATAAATTGACATAACGAAAACTATAAAGCTTTTGACAATCACAAAACGTCGTAACCTAACCACCTATGAAACACGGACACGGATACGGATAAGGACATGGGACACGGCAATTTCTAAAAAATGAAGACACGGACACGGTGGGGGACACGGAAAATTTTTTTTTAAAAAGTTTTTTATATATTTTTATGTGTTATGTAGATTCATATTACATTCATCCTAAATCAAAATAAACAAACACTAACATAATAACATTAATTCATTAAATATAACTACTACATTTAAACAAATTAATAAATCATCCATTCATAAAAAAGTCATAATAAACGATAAGAACTAAGACGAGAAGGGAAAAACATTCAATATCCAACAATATTCTTCACAAAAGCACTAAATAAGAGAGGCAAAAGAAAGAAGGAAGAAAAAAAAAAAAATACGCCCCGCTGTGTCCCCTACAAAAAAATCATTAAATTAAAGGGACACACCATCTGGCATGTCCCGTTCGTGTCCCCGTCGCGTTCACGTATCGGACACCGCCACGGCACCGATTTTGGAGTGTCCATACTTTATAGCTAACCACAAAGATACATGACGTCAGCTACAAAAATGCGTAACTTAGCTACATATTGACTTAACAAAAAGCATAAAAATTCTGAGAATAAAAAAATGTCATAACCTAACCAACAAAGATATGTAACGTCACCCACTAAAACATGTCACCTAACAACAAATTGGCGTAACGAAAAGCATAAAATTTTTGAGAACCGTAAAATGTCGGAACTAATCATAAGTTATGTAATGTCACTCACAAACTTACTAACATCCCACTATTTGTATTTAACACTATAATGTATAATTATTATAAAATGCCGTTTTGATACTCCTTCATATACCACTACTAGGCACATATTTATCATTACCTACATTAATTATTGTTAATAGGCTTTTCCCAATTATTTTGTCCAGCACAATCTGTTTCATTTTTTTCTTTTTGAAGGCCCCTTACATTTATGCATAGAATCATATTTTGAAGGCCATTTTTTATTTTGATGAAACTTAGATTAGAAACTGATCAAGTCAACAACAATTTTGGCAAAAATTTAAAAATAAATGGAAGAAAAGCTATTGGTTAATGGTTGCATGCAGTTGAAATGATGAGACCAGATATGTAAAGGCATGCACACATTTGGGCATGCTTCCCTTTATCTACATTTAATGGACAGATGAACTTATTCTGAATGCTAAAAATAAAAAACAAAACTAATAATAAAAAGTTGGCAAAAAAATTTCATGATAAAATTCAGAAATCATTCAAAATAGAAAGTAGTTCGGATAAGTTTTTGTATTCCCAAATTTGAGAACAGATGCTGCAAATAAGCTTTTTGTTTTTCATTCTCAATTCCACTTGACATAACATAAACTAGGCAGATTTGGAAGAGGTAGGTGCACATTCTCCTAATGAGGAAATCATAACATCTACGATATAAGTAGATTGTTCAATGAAATTGATCACATAGTCCAATGAAGGCCTCAAATTTATATTGCCAGGGCTACAAATGGAAGAGCTCAAATTGTTTTGATGTACATACAAAAGAATAGGAATCAAAACCTGACACGTTGATATCAAGACGATGAACTTTAGAGCTTTCATTTCATTCTTCCTCAGAAGGTGATGAACTCACTCCTAGAGCCTTCTTATGGACTAGTTCTGATCTTAGACAGTTGGTGTAGAAATTTAATGTATAAAGAGAAATAGAGAATTGTATTATTGATTGATTTATATTGATATCTTCATATGATATTCTATCTATTACAAATGGTTCCTTATATAGATGTAGGTGTAGTGGATGGTGTGTAGTGGATGGTGATAGTGGTGTAGTGGGTTAGGTTTAGTGGAGTAGGTGAGGTGGTAGTGGTGGTAGGTGATGGTAAATTCTAACAGCCCCCCGCAAACTCAAGGAGGATAGAAACTAACCAACTTGAGTTTGAAGAGAGGAACAAAACAAGAAAATACATAAAAAAAAAAAAAAATAAAAGAGGATAAGAGACACTGTATGGTCGTGTCAGACCATTGTGAAGACACGTGGGATGGTTGGTGTCATAACGTTGTGAGGACACTGTATGGGGTGTCATAACCACGTAGAGGACACTGTATGGTGGTGGGTCATAAACGGTGTAGAGGATACTGGATGGGCTGGTGTCAGACCGATGTAGAAGACAGTTTATGGGGTCATGTCGGACCGTTGTAGCAGAACATGTTGTGAACAGTTATGGTGACAGTTTACGGAGTCTTGCTGGACCCTTGTAGAAAACTAACCGGAATCTAATGTCGGGCAGTTTACAGAGTCTTGTCGGACCCATAAAGGAGCTAACCGGAATCACGTCGGGCACAGTTTACAGAGTCTTGTCGACCCATAAAGGAGCTAACGCGGAATCAATGTTGGGAACAGTTTACAGAGTCTTGTCGACCCTTAAAAAAGTCGGCACCCTCAAAAGGTGTGCCCATTTATCAAAAGGCGTACCCATCAAAGGCGTGCCCAATCCATAAAAAGGTGTGCCGGACATGATGATGGCGAGGTCACGTGAGTGCCTTGGTTTTGGCGCGCCCCGTTTGTCGTTCTGTCGCAAGTGGCGCGCGATGCGGCGGATCGGCCCTGGCTATTTAAACAAGGTTGAGGCAGAGGCTGAGAAGACAAAAAACTTCTGAAATCCTCTGAAAAAAACGCTTCCTTTGGCTGAGAGAGAAACTGCTATATACTCTGTAACGAGAGATATTCTGTAACACTCTGTTGGCCATAGAAAATGCCTTGTCTTCCCGCGGAGTCTGCTCAACCCTTCTTTCCCGACTCAACGAGATCAACAAGAGAGAGAACTGGAGCGGTGCACTGGAACCTCGACCGAGTGCCCCGGAGTTTACTGCGCTGAACTTTCCGATGCGGTTGTGGGCAAAGAATGGGCAGTGCAGTCGGATGTGGAAGCCAATCAGTATACATTAAAGTCATGTGTGGAAACCATGACTGGCGGTTACAAACTTGTCGAACCGGCTGCAGAGTAGGGCAAATGAGGTGCAACATTTAAACGCCCAAACTGGCTCTGCTGCCAACGCATGTATAAGGATGCGCGAGCAGAGATAAGTGTGCTAAAGGCAGAAAACAAGGAGCTGAAGCGGAAGGCCACGCGTGAATGTTCCGATTTGGAGGGCCGCCATTGCTGCAGTGGGAGGAGCAGGGAGTAGTTGATCGTGCCAGTGGAGTGGGAACACGGAGGCACAACACCGTCAAGGA